CTAAATACTAATCATTCACTTGTCACATAAAGCACTAGCTGTCTACTAAGGGGAGGTAGTAAAATGCCGGTTAGCGAAAATTGCTACCTAGTTAGTAAGTGAATAGTGCTGGCTCGAGTGGTTAGTCTATTACTAAATTGTTAGTAACCTCCGCAAATAGAGGTTTAAGCTTATTTTGTTAAATCTTCGTGTGTGTTTCCATATCAAGATTATTCTAATTAAAAAGGATAGGATAAAAATTGAATCGACATGGACCTCGTAAATAATAATGGCTTCTAACTACGTCATGTAACTATACTGTGGTAAGTGTGCTTTACAGCACCATACTTATAGAGCATTGACCACATTATCACATGATCAAATCAGATTCACATATCATCATAGATATGTGAATCTGATATGATCATATGGACTCACATGATATCATATGATATGCTCATATTAGTATGAGAAATCATATGAACGGATCACGACAACACCATGCACAAGTAAGTCTTCAAAACTTGGACATAGCAGATTTCTACTGTAGCAGCTGCCAGAAGGCTATGTATACCCCTGCTTTGGGATCGCACACCACGTACTGGTTAGCAGTCACAGAAATTATAATTGTTGCTTTCTATGCATCATCATGTCACCTTCTATATACTTCTGTGTGTGCCATTACGTATCACGAAACTTCTATTCCAAAGTAGTCAATAAAATTAGAGCTTCCCTAAATTTTTCTTACGATGTCACCATTACGGCAAAATGTACTGCGGCATCTAAAAAAAGATTCTGGTAACGTAGATGGCTTAGTAGTTGCTTAGTTGAAAACACTAAGAAAGGTTCCCTAGCTATTAATGGCTAAAGTTGCTCTCTGTGCTAGCTTGTGGCTAGTAAAAGTATACCACGAAGGTAGTAAAATACTCCGGAAACTAGTAAGCACACACGTTTACAAACTGATTACTAACTTTTCTTCTAAGAGTGTGCAGCAAAAACCAAGAAAAGCTATGCGGAAATGACTAGCTCTACTGCTGACTTCTTGGAAGCGACGGGGGCCAAAAGGTTCAGCTCCATCTGAAGTGCCTGACCTGACCGCCTAAAGTACGCCAGATTCATTGCGCGTGGAGAGAGCGACTCCACAGAACGGCGATGATGAATGAATTAACAGGCACGCATGCAAGAGGCAGCGCTTTGGCATCAGCAATGACGGGCCTCCTCCTCGTGAAGAGGAGGATGCTGCTCAACACGGCACTGATAGTGTGGGCCAATGCGCTACCGTCAGTTCCTCGTCACACGGGAAAAGTAATTCGTTGTTTTAAATCTGATGCCATTTTCGAGCGTCATCATGTATGCCTGTTTGGATGAAGAAAAATTAAATGTTGAAGAGTAATCATTGTAGCTTACTATTTCTGTGATGTAGCCATGTTTTTTACGTTCATTATATTCACGTGATTTCAATTAGTCAGCCATGCTTGATGTCATCAACCAGATCAACGTGTTTTTGGAGGTCTCTAGCAATTCATCGTCACCGCATTCCATCATTGCAGGTGCGCTTCTTAACGTGGTAATTACGATAGAACAGCCTTCGTTAAGGCGAAGGCCTTAGACAGCCTTAGATGCCTCATCAAACGCGAAGTATGATTATCAGCGTCCTGCGTCAGCGGCGTTAGGGACGAGCTGCACAAGATATAGTGATTAAGGTATGCGCTCGCTTTCAGTCTGATAAGCACTTCATTTCATTTTCATTTCATTTCACTTTATTTTCAATTCCAAAATGATAGATAAAAAACTGTTCGGACCCATAGTCCAAAGGCTAGAATAGGGCCTAATTATGCAAAACAAAATGGCACAGTATTCGAAGGATAGCACAAGGCAAGAATAGCACATGTAGCAAAACAATAGAACAAGACATTGAACCTGGATACAAGATGATAAAGATTGTGGATATAGTAAAGAAGGTTAAGCATTGTATAGACAATATATTCAGATACTCGAACTTGGGTAAGATAACCGAAACATGTATTTTATACACAAACAAAAGAAAGGCATTGAGTAATAACAACTACGCAGTAAACGTTCACTGGACGTAGTGGTACTTATATACAAGGATTGAACGATTTTGTTACTAATAAGGGGGTTACAGAGACACTATAAGGATTGCAAAGAAGTGTTTTTTTTTTATTTTTAGAGGAAAGTTAACAGCCGATTTCATATCCTGGGGCAATCTATTCCAGATTTTAGTACCGACGAACTGCAAGACGCCGTTCTCCATAGACGTTGTTCGTGGGAGGAAGGTTAAAATTACCGGCAGCAGTATTCCTCGTAGGGCGGGATGAGGAGCAAAGAATGGACGAATGAACAGGACGGTTATACCTTATGATAATATTAATGCCAATGGCTGTTCTCTGTTGACGCAAACTGTCCATTGGTAAAATTTGTAGTTTACTAAACAGGGGTGCGCTGGGATGATCGTGGCTTGAGTGCGTTATTATTCCTAATGAGCACATCTGTAGTTTTCGTAAAGGCTCCAGGTATGTAGTGTAGGTCCAACCCCATGAATCAATGCAGTAGGACAGATGACAGTGGATGAGAGAAAAGTACAAGATCCGTAATATTGCAAGGTCGAAATAATTTCTCGCTTGCAACAATGCATGACAGCCCGAAGATAGCTTCGAGCACACTGATTTTATATTGAGTTGCCAGTGGAAACGGTTGTCGATAACTACACCTAGGTATTTAAATGAATCGATGCGTTCGAGTGCATAATTATTTATCTTTATTTGATTGCTGTCTAGATTTATTGGCATATGTCGGGAATGGATTATCATGTACTTTGTTTGGTTTTTTTCGCGTTGACGGTAAGTTTATTTTCTTTGAACCAGTGTGATATATTAGCTAGCTCAGCATTTGTTTTTCTTTCAATTTCTTGCATATTTGCCCCCGTATCAATTAAGCTGCATCATCCGCGTACAATAGTAGCTCTGCAGAATTAATAACCAGTGGTAGGTCATTCATATATAATATAAAGAACAAAGGGCCCAGGACAGATCCCTGCGGGACCCCTGTGCTCATCGGTTTTTGCGAAGAAGTGATGCCACCTAGAGAAACAATTTGACTACGATCAGTGAAGTAGCTAGAAAAGATTTCAAAGCTTTCGTTTCTAAAGCCATAGTTATTTAATTTTTTGAAGGATGCTATGGTCGATAGTGTCGAATGCCTTCTGTATGTCAAGAAATACAATAGAAACTAGTTTATGGCTATTTAAAGCTGTGTTGACATTTTGTGTCAATGTTTGAACTGCAGTGGAAGTAGAATATCCCGGACGGAAATCATGCTGTTGCGGACATAAAATTTTATATTTTTCCAGAAATTTTTTGATTCGAGAAGAAAGTAGCTTTTAAAGATGTTATTTATTATACTGAGAACTGATATCAGGGCGGTAACACGAAGGGTCAGAGCGATCACCGTCTATAAATACGGGCAATACTTTGGCGACTTTGAGAGGATCAGGGTAGGACGAGGTTGCTAGGGAATGATTGAAAATGTGGCACAAGACGGGCCTAATATGTCTATGTTATCCTTGATGAGATGGACTGTGATTCCATCCAGCCCGGCGGTTTTGTTATTGCAAAATTTTTTACCGGTAGATAACAGAACTCCTAATTCTATGTCATGAATAAAGAAGGTATTGGGTATGGAGCTGACTAAACACTTGTAATTAGAGTCAGGATGACTAGATAGCCAAGGACGGGCCAATACTAGTGAAGTATGAATTGAATCTTTTAGCAGTTTGTTCGTCTATTGTTAAAGGGAGAATACGATGCGCACTAGAATTTCCTACAACTCCTTGCATAATTTTCCATATAGTTTTTGTATCCCCATTCGCGCGTTGAATCAAGCTGGAGTAGTAGTTCTTCTTGCGTACGCGGATTATTGCCACAGATTCATTCCGTAACCTTTTATACTGCCCTAAGTCATAATGATTATGTTTATGCTGTTTCCATTTATTGTACTAGAACTGTTTTTTCTTCATAATAGAGAGATTGTCTTGGGTCGTTCAAGGGCAGATCGGGACGTTATAAGAGCGTGAAGATACGGTACTACTAGCGTTACTGATAGCAGTCCTTATAGTTTCGATTAGATTGGCAACCTCAGTATTTACATCATTGTGGTACAGACTGCTTGGTACGAGAGATAGAAATTCGTTCCTTAACAGGGTATAATCTATCTTTCGAATGACAGGGTGATTTTTAGGTGGAGTCTTGGACAGGTTTATAATCTAGATACAAATAGGAAGGTGATCAGAGAATTGGTTCGTCATGCACACTTGCATTAATCGGGGTGGATATGTTTGTCAAGACGTGGTCTATGATCGTCGCTGAGGTGCTAGTTAAACGTGTGGCCGTAGAAATCAAGTTTCGAAGATTGAAAGAAGCAAGCAAAAACTCGTAATCAGAAGATGCTAGACTGCAGGTATCAATATTGAAGTCTCCCGTAATGACAATGGAAATATTTTAGTTTGCCGCAAGTGTAAATAGCGCCTTTTCAAGTATATCTAGAAAAGAAACGTAAGATGAGTTCGGAGTACGGTATATAACTCCTATGATAAGGGAACACTCCAACTTGATGAACAGTGATTCAATATCTGCGCAGCTGCATGTGACGGATTCTAGTTTCGAAAAGGAGTATCCTGATATTACAAAGACAGGCCACACCGCCGCCACGGGTGTGTGACTCTTGTGGATTAGATATGAATGTGTACCCATCGATGTTGCATATTTTCGCCCTTTTTCAGCCATGTTTCCGTCAACGCTATAACATCGACAGGTTGGACATGCGTAGAAAGAAACGCATAGAGCAAGTTCAAATTCTTGTTTAAACTGTGGATGCTCGTGTAGAAGACAGAGATATTGTTGTTTTTAGGTACGTTGTAAGGTGTGATTATGAGAGTGGCATGATGTCAGTTATAGGAGTACCAGTAAATGCAAACCGCTATTTATACTATTTTCATCAGGTCGTCATCGCATTGTGACGTGCACAACTCTCGAGTTCTCGGACTTCAGCATGAGAATTTTGCCATCAGCGACCCATGCGAATTTCCAGTTCTTTTCCCGTTTGCACTGGATAGCTTTTCCGAGGAGATTTTTTTTTTCGGGACACAAATGGGCATTTACGTATACTGGGATATTTACTTGGTAACCCAGCAGGGACGCATTCAGCCGCTTCTGTTTTGCGGCAAACAGAAGCCTGTCACGGGTAGCTCGAGAGCTGAATTTGACGATTATATTGGGCAGCCCACCCCCTTTTGTGGGGACACGATGCACCACATCCACGTTATGATCCGAAAGCGGAACACTCAGGCAAGTGGCCACCTTATGTAGTGTTTGACCGAGGTCTTCCTTTTCAGTTAACGGTACTCCTTTAAGTTGTAGATTAGTCCGCCTGGAGTACTGCTTTAGGTCTACAATTTCTTTCTTTGCGTCTCTGAGTTCCTTCACCAGTGGATGACGTTCCCTTTCGTGTTCATGACTACGCTTTTTACCTTCGCTCAGCTCCTGTCGGACAGCCTTTAGCTCAGCTCTGAACTCGTCAAAGCCCTGACTATGGAACTTCAAAGACTCGTCAAAACTACTAACACTAGCTTTGACCTCTGTCATGGCTGCCATGATGGTGCTGAACATTATTTCTATTAGCACCTTTGCGAGTTCTTTAATAGAACTGGGCGTTTTGTCCCCCAGTGCTTTGGAGAGGACAGCAAGGGCATCCATCAAGGCAGGCAGTGAAAGATAGAATCAGCACTATATACACGGGAACAAGAGAAGTATGCCCATGTAGGGCGCCAATGCACAAATAAGTAGGCACTCAGAGCAGACAGACAGCCATTTTCAAAGCAAGGAGAAGATGCAACAAGCTCCCATAACCCACCTGCAATGCTTAAACGCAGGAATTAGCAGTCGTGCCCGGACGGCTGCCCGTCTGCTCTGAACGCCGATGTTACAGTTGAGGCCGTATTTATGGATGAAGGGGGCGCCACCAGCGGAGTTGTCGGGAAAGCAGACGCCACGTCCGGTTCGGGTGGTGAGTCGATGCGGAACGTGCAGATGAAACGGCAGGAGTGCGACTGCGCCCAGCTGAGCGTAGTATCTTGCTATCCGGTGGGGATATCATGCCTGGGTGAAATACCCTGTCAAGCCTGGGTGAGATACCCTGTCAGTGCCTGCAATGCGTAAACGCAGGAATTAGCGGTCGTGCCCGGGCGGCTGCCAGTCTGCTTTGAATCAAGTTGACATCCGCGCAGTTTAATAAAATTGCGCGAGGTATAGCTGATGGCACTGGCCCGACCATCCCGACATGGGTGTGGTACAAGTTAACCACGGGTCGACTTTTGAGACCAAATGAGGTTCGTCCCACCATACCATGCTGCTGACACTGCTAGTGGGCGAAATGAAGTCATCTGCGTGACGCTAACAGCAAGACTGGCAAGGGTAGCTTGTTGATTTAGGTTCTTAATAGAACGCGTGTAAGTGTGACACATTACTTGAAAGCTGTCTGGCCAAGTTTTTCGTTCATTTTGATAAGCAAAAAGAGCCCGACAGCGATGTTTGCGCGCACACGAATACACACACAGGCAGTAGCGTAGCCAAGGGGGGGGGGGGGGGGTTAACCCACCTACACGCCTCCGCTTACCCACCTAATTTTATCTCGTCGCTTTGCGCTGAGATGATTTAGAAACTAAGTACTGCTATTATGACAATGTCATTTCTGGCCGATATTACAATGAAGAACATGTGCATACGGAAAAACGTGTCGCGGTGTTTCTCAAGGCTTTGGCACTCTGTAAGATTGTGGGCAGGAGTTTCGGCAGTGAGTGTTTTAAGTTGGCTCGGTGACGGCATTAATACTTCAGCTGTGGTCATATTTGTACCCGCCGGAACAGATCTCGCCGGAGTAAATCACTGCGATAATTTCCAATGGGCAGAGGTTTGTTTTAATGGAAAAAGCCAGACATAGTTCCACGGTCTGATAGGCCACGTTCAAGCATATTACAGTGTTTGTCTTCATGCGTGTGCTAAGATATACTCATGCCAGAGAATAACATTTCTATTGTGTCTTCGCACGTTCTTCTGCTATCATCTAAACGCACGCACGCACGCACAGACGGACGGACGCACACACACAGACACATGCGTGCGACAGAATGTTAGGTTCATACACCTAATTATGATTGTATGCGAGTGTACAATATATTTATACATATCTTAACTATGCCCTAACGGCTAAAGACACTTCGAAGTGTTGCCTAATGACGAAGGTGCAACGCAGGCAAACGTGCTAGCCAATCACAACCTTAAAAAGGCCTATACACCAAAATACTCATCATGTAACTTAGGCTGACAAATAAAAATATTGTGGTCGACTTCACTCAACTTTCTTCCTTGATTTTTAACAAGCGCCCATGGTTGATACTACACACACATTCAGCTGAAGCCGCCCACGTTTCCAGTAAAAATTAAAGAGAATGTTTTCTGGACGGACTTGCATTTCGCGGTAGAGCTATGCCAAACAATCTTTAATTTGTTGTTGTAGCTCTCAAGTACATATCTTGTAGTCTCAGTGATGAAAAAGAGCGTTATGCTTAAGCTGTACTCACGAGCAGAGTTCCCAGAACGTTTCGAAGACGTCACTCGCTCGGGAAGAATGCCCCTGGGCTTTTGACAACCGCTTGCATCACAGACATCCTCAACGTTTCTCGCTTCTCTTGCTTCCATTTCAACGTCCATACTGCTAACTCCCCTTGCAATTCCAAAGTTGAGATACTGTTCGAGTACACGTCAGCAAACTTCTCGGTAGTGAAAAGAGTGGCAGATTCGGCAACACTCTGTGGCAAAAGGGAAGAAAACATCTTCAAGGTGTGCCGATGCCTTTCAAAGCGCTTATTGAACTGGTCTATTAAGTAGTCTAGGAAAGGCCAGAAATACTGAAAGTCTAAAGTGCTCTTCAACGCTAGCCACTGGCACGTTACTTCGATGAAGCTGCCTTGCTGTGACAAGCGGCATCTTCATTTTCGCCAGTTGTCAAGTATGCAATGAGAGCAGCGTCAACTTTCGGAATATAATCATGAAACGTTATACCGTACGGCGTTTCGGTGATACCATCAAGTCTCATAGAAGAGCGCTGAACGACCCAGGACACGAACTACCCAGCAATACGTGGAGGCAGCGTATTTCAAGAAGGTGACTTCGTATTGCTAGGAAGCAACGCGATTAGCAAAGTTCTGGCAGTGACACTGAATGCAAGAAACGAGTACTTTAGCGACAGTACATGTCGGCTGGTAAAGTTCCGCATTAAAAACTAGCACTCGTTTTGATAACTTTAGTGACAATACATGTCGGCTGGTAAAGTTCCGCATTGAAAACAAGCACTCGTTTCTCGCCTGACGGAAAGATTTGCGGGTATACATTTCCTCCGCTTCTCTTCAAGTGCCGGTAAGGTCACGCTCGCCCAGTATCTTATTCTGCGCGCAAGACGTCTCGCGTTTGTGATTGCACCCATACGGAAGACTGATAGTTTCTGTTGCGTTGTGGTGAAATACCACAAACGTGAATGAACGTGAAGGAGTTCATGCCAGCAGTGGAGTTCCAGCGACTCGCATCAACATTCCCGAAACACACAACCGACAGGTACGGATGGTGCACAGTACCGCGTAAGTAAACTCGTGTTCCATGCGCTGGCAGTTCTAGTTGGAGTTCACACGTTCTGAGAAATCGACTATGGTGCACTTTGCTCTGAAAAACTACAGAGTTCATTCCTTCATCACTGGTGAACCGATCACTGAAGATTTTGTACGGTTCGAGCTGCTCCTGTTCGCGCCATGGTAAGAGCTGGAAACATGAATGCACGTACGTCCTATGCTGCACAGTGAAATATTCTGTACAGTTCTGAATCTGTTGACGTAAAGGGAAATGTCGAAGCTGCACGCTTGCAAACAATGGAATACACCTTACGCAATGCTATCGTTTCAAGGAGCGAAGTGATGAAAGCAATAAAAAAACGAAAAGTATTTCCAAGTTTTTTTAGTGCGTATTTAAGTTTTTTTCAGCACACGCAGCGAACAAGCTAGTTTTATGAAAATATGTGAAGTCCGCCCGCACGTGCACTTTTCGATTGAGACCAAGCGAACATTTCTCATTAATGATTACCTTGCCCTCGCACATTGCACGATAAAACCTCTACGATTGTAGTATTTCATTGCTATCAAAAGTCATAGTGCAATGGAAAGATTGTCCGAAAAATAACGTGTGCAAAACCGTGTTACCAATGTGCAGCATATATCTTACAAAAATTATTGCATATCGCAAGCATGCTTCGATGGGCGCAGTAAAGTAAAAATGTTGACTACAAGCTACCACTGCGTCAAGGCTGCTTGACATATAGATATTAACACAAAAATCATTCCTATGGGCACGCAGTCATAGACATCGACAGTAAGAAATTCGCTCAACAAAGCAAGCAAAACGAAATGTAATTATGAATGTACAAATAGATGCTGCGTATTCCTCTCATTTCTCGTTTTAAACGAAACCATCCTTTATTTGTGAAACCCACTTCACCTTGACGAGGACTGCGCCATCTACACTTAACAGGGATTGAGGATTACACCGGGCATTAGGGCTGGGGTGGGGTCGTATCGAGTTAGTGCCTCATCATTACTACCTTGGTCGCCTCATTGGTAGTCCCGTCCCGTGGCACCCTTGTAAGAGGTGAACAGTGAGGAGGCACAGTGGGCTGCTTCAGTGATACCACATTTGGGTAATGTGCTGGCTCAACCCTTAGGCCTGTAGGCTGGGGCGGCGTCAGATCGAAGCAGTTCCTCGCCATCACAACCAACAGAGAAGTCGTCGAGGTCACCTCGTTGGTAGTGCCATCACGTGGCTTGGTACAAGGGGAACAGCATGGTTGGTTGGTTGGTTGGTTGGTTGGTTGTTCCTCAGAGTCCTGGCGCATCCCATCATGGGGGATCGGCCATGAAACGGACGGTGCCTCATTTGTGAGGTGGAGTTGTTTTACCACCCTGATTATCTAGATAACGATGCTTAAACAAAAAACCAATTGGAAAACGATAGATTAGAAATGAAATAGAGGTAATAACAAGAACGAACAGGCTAAAATGATTTGAAATAAAGTGAATTTATGCCTCAGCTTAACATTCTAATCGTTTTCTTGCCTTTAGAAAATCGCATACGGCCTCGCAAGCATTCCTGTGGCTAAATCCCTTTTCAGTTGCTGCAAAGGAGAGGACCACCGGAAGGGATAAATTTAGAGCGAACCTACGGAGAGGTTCTTCTAACAGTCTTCTCCGTTGGTTTGTGTATAACCTGCATGTTAAGAAGAAATGGTGAAGGGATTCACTCTCGTTGCAGTGGAGGCATAGGGGAGACTGCGCCAGACCAGACCTGTCTAGATATAAGTTCAGGGGGGGGGGGGGGACTCGGCATCTTAGTCTCGTAATTGATATCTCCGCCGTTCTAGAGGAGCACCATCGATTTTTTTCAGGGGTACATAAGATGGGAAAAATTCGATGTTGCCAAGCGAGAATTTTCAAATTGATCTGACATGACAAACTTTTTAAAGTGTGCCACGGAGATAAATGCTAGCGTCGGTAATATAGAAATTATGGGATAACTATGTGAGGCCACTGCGAGTGCATCTGCATATTCATTGAGGGTTAAACCTTTATGCCCCGGTATTCACACTAAGCCAATGAGTC